TTTTTCCAGTGGGAAAGCTGAACGAGGGTTTCTGTGATCATGGGCGCAGTCCTTTGACCCAGGCAGTTTGCAGTGGGGTACAACGGAGCACTTCACCATGCTCCAAACTCCAGGTCATCTGGATATTTTTTCTCCATTTACTCCCTAAGAAAACACATGGTCAAGCGAAAAACAGAGAGGGTGAGTCCCATCTTTCAGCTAGAAATCACCAAACGAGTGTGCAATAATTGGGATAAACCCCTGGGAATGTCTCCGGCTGTTTGCCTGCTCCACTCTGTGAGTGATGAGCCCAGAAACCCCAGCAAGTGCTGAACACCTTTACCAGCCAAAGCTAGACTATTTCTCTAGATTTATGGAGAAACTGGTCCATTGCACATCTGTATGTCAATATGGAATGCGGGGATGGTTTTTCTGGTTTAAAAATAAAAATAAAATACAATGGTAACTGCACTCAAGTTGTTACGGAAGAGTCCCAGTGAGGTTTGTCCCCACACTGGGCATGGAGCTGCAATGGGAGGTTTTGGGGGCTGCCCCACCCTCCTCCCACACTCCAGGGACATTTCCTCTTGCCCCCAAAAACCAGCACCTGCTTCACATCATGGAGAGCAGAGCCAAGCATAGCACGTGAGCTGGCTGAGGTTGTTGCAACCAGGGATGGAGGTCCAAGCTGTGCACCCATAAAGGATCCTGGAGGGCATACAACCCTTCCGAAGGAAAGACGCCCAGGAAAAACAGGAATCAACCTGTTCTGAACCAGAAGAAAGCCCATGAAGTGCCGGTCACGGGTTGAGGTCTTGCGTAGAGGTGAAAGGAAGACAACCGTACCTGGTGGAGAGTGCGGCTGTAAGGTAAGTGCGCTGGCCTTTGCAATTTGCAAATTTACTAAACAAAATTACAGCAAAAGACGGGGGTGTTCAGCAGCAAAGCAGGTCCTTTTCTGAACACTCCTTGGAACATCGTTTCTTGGAGGAGCCTTTCTTGGAGGGAAGCAGTGTGAAAGGACACTACCTTCATCCAACAACCGTTGAGTGATTAAAAATTAATATTAAAATAAATATTCTGATGAATATTTTAATAAATATTTAAATTAAAAATAAATTCATTCCTGACGGTCATTGAGGATATGCAGGTGCTTCGCTTTAAATGCAGGGTGGGCTCAAAACTGAGTTGAAAGCAGTTTTTGAGAATTTGAAAACCACTAGCACGACTGTCAAAGCAGGGTTGGTTTCAACGCAACAAGCAGTTGTTTCCCATAAAGTGATCCGAAAGTCCTGAACTGCCGGATCCTTAACATAATTTTAGCATTTTGATCTAACCTGCTAGGATTCTGAAGAAAAATCTCCAACTTACAGAAAGCGTTATGTTATTTTTTCTCCACCACTTGTGTAATCGTTTGAGGAGGGAGGCAGCTGAGGAGAAATACCAAGTGATCGAAACTAATAAAGAGAAATGAGACTAAATCACTGGCCCTGACCATAACCTATATTTTTTCTCACTGAATAAATTCTAGAGGTTAAAAACACAGCTCTGCAACCCTGGATCTGCCCACAATGGCAAACCTTGCAGGTAATTTCCACTCCTCAGAAAAGTAGAGTTTGAAAACCAAAACCAAAACCGAAACACCCACATACACACCAAAAAACCTGAAAAGCAGCCAAAAGCCAGCTTTGACCATTTGTCACTGGATTTTGAGCAGTTTCCAGGAAGACTCCCTGGCGGCGATGCCAGCAGATCTGGACCATCAATCGAGCATTTGCAGAGCTGGGATTTCTGCAAGCTCTTCTGAGTGCAAACCCCCCCATTTTCAGTAAGTTTTAAAGACTGCAAACAGCGATGAGGGTTTTCTAATCTCCCAAAACCTGGAAACAAGCGGTCTGTCCTAAGCATTTCCCCTTCCATCTGGTCTTCCAGCTGCGAAGTGCTGCGCCAGCTTCAGAGCAGGGCAGGTGATGCAAGGTTGACCTGCACAAGACTTCTAGGTCGATACAAGCCATGGATGGGTCCCTGAGATCATCCAAGAGCCCGCTGCAAACTCTGTTGACTACACCAGCAGTTGAGATGCTTTGTTCTCAGGTTGCTTCATGCCTGTCCTGGCAATGGCAGGAGCCTGACAGCTGCAGCTCTCCACCAGTGCCACTGTCTCCCAATGTGGCCTGCCTGTCTTTCCCATTAAATTCCATATCGAAAGAGGAATTAGGAGCAATCCTGTTCTTCAGCAGGGCTGACGAGTTAAGCCTCCAATGTGCTCTAATGTTTTGTATCCAAATTAAGTCCTGTCTGGGAAGGAAGAGGATAGAGGTGATGGGATGATGCTTCACCTTGATTTGGGGGCCAACCCTCAACAGCGGTCTTTGGGTTTGCTTTTGGTGCCTCTGCTGGATACACCCGGGTGCAACACATTTGAACAGGTACGTGCCCACACATATTATTTCTGGATATCTCAGTAAACTGTTCTGCTAGCTACTAGCCTGGGGTTTTGGCAGCACGTCTCCCCACAGCCCCCCTCACCGTGATACTGGAGGCCGGAGATGGGAGTGTTTGCCTGTTAAGGAGTAGCTAAATCCTGCAGATCTTGAGACCCCAAGAAATTTCTCCTTCCTGGTACACTACAGATGAGATTGGTGGACTCAGACCAGGAGGTTTCTCCCATCCTGGCCCCATAGATGCAGCCATTGCTTTTTCCATTGCAGGTCCAACTGCACTGCTTTGTAGCTGATAGCAAGGGGCTGTTGCAAGGTAGCACTGCCCCATAAGGTCCCCAAGACCTTCCTTTAAATCACCCAGGGGGGTTGGCTGTCCCTCACATGATTGCCCCCCTTGCTGTTCAGCCAGCAGCATCTCAGGACCACCCTGCACAGCTTTACAGGTCCAGCTCTCCCCAGCTACTGGGAAGCTTGAGTGAGGGCTAGGGCCATGTATCTGTGTGGATGGTGGAATGACTCACTCTGCAAATGTGTTTACAAGCTGCTTGTTGCAAGCATTACTCAATGCATTTTCCATGGAGCTTTATCTCCTTAGGAGAAAGCTTCATGGCATGCATGCTGGTGCTGTGCTGGGGAGGATTTTCTCGCCTGGAAAACCACGTGGCTCAGGAGAAATCCAGCAACAGGATGCAGGACCCCCACCTGTGAGACAATTCCTCCAGGATGGGGGAGTTTTCCACCCCCAGCTGCAGGGAGCACCACTGTCCAGCCCGGCATCACCACCCCTGGGTCGAGCATCCCCAGGCTGCAGGTTGGGGCGGGGTGGGGGAGAGGAGGCAGCTACAAAGCAAAAGCCTCCAAGTTGCTAAATCCAGGCACTCGGCATGCCTCCCACCTGCCCATGTGCCCTATCCTCTCCGGAGACTTCCCACTACAACAGAGGGCTGGGGGGACTGGACCCCATTTGCTCACAGCCTGCCTGCCCCAAGATGCAGAAAAAGCAGGATTTAGAGCTCAAGCAGTGGGTTCATGGGAAATAACAGTAAAAAAAAAAAAAAAAAGGCAAAACAACAGAGAATTTTATTAAGCTTCAGCATCTCAGATAATTTCCCCCCTTCCCTTCCACTTTCCACCAGGGTTGCTGGTGCAGGAGACGGAGCCTCTGCCGATGGCAGAGCACAGCATCCCCCACCCTGTTGGGGGTCCCTGGGGAAGGGTGGGAATGGGGTCCCCAGGCAGAGCATGGAGGAGTCCCAGGCAGAGGCTGCAGGAGCCCTGTGCCCCAAAACAGAGGTGCAGACTGCTCAAAGGGGTGCAGGAGACCCCCATAACGGTGCTTCCCAGCAGGCAGGCAGAGACCTACCCACGCGTGGAGTGGCACCAAGGTTAGGTGCTAAAGCCTGTGGGACCCCGCTGCTCTCCTCCCGGCTGCCAGCAGCCTCGGTGGGAAAGCCAGCGGGGACCAGATGGCTGGTTGAGCCTGGGCAGGTGTTTGTCCAGCCTCCAAACCATGAACTCACCCCACAAACTCCCCTCCGGAGTCTGTTCTGTCCCTCCCGTGCTGGAGATGGAGAACATTTGCGGCTGTCAAAGCCATTTTTCATGTGTGTCCCCTCCTGGGCACCCAGAGCCATTCCAATTTGCTCTCTCGCTGTGTCTCTTTACCCTCTTGCACTATCGACCGACCCACGTCCAGCCCTTAACGTTGCAAATCATTCTCCCCATTGCATTGTTCAGACAGAGCTGCATCCCAGGCTTGTCTGGCTTTAACTCAAGTCCTAGAGATCCACCTAGCAGCTCCTCCAAGCCCCATCACACCCCATTTCAGCTGGATGCCTTGAGGGCTTACACCAGTTTCCCCAGCTCCTTAACCCCTAGGAGGCTGTTTAGCATCTTCTCTAATTAACAGCAGCCCTTAACCTCCTCCTCACTCCTGAGGTGCAGGAAGGAGGTCAAGGTCAGATGTATTTCTGTGTTCCTCTGCTGAGCAGTCTCACCATGTGTCTCTGCCAAGGTCTTGCATTGGCCTTAACAGGTTAAATTTCTACTTAATTTCTCTCCTATTTCTTTCTTTCATCCCACGGGCTTCTTCTGCCCTGGCTTTCCGTTGTGCATCTCAGAGCTGTGCAACCGTTGCTCAGGCGGACTGTTGTCACCACTGCCAAGTGATGTCGGTTTGCAAGGTGCCAGGCGTCCAGCTGCAGGGCTGGGGTCTCCAGGTGCTGCCCGAGGCATCGCTTCTCCTTCCCATGCTTGCAGCCCATTTCTAGTCCCATAAGCCTCGGGCATCAGACAGGGAGCCCAGATCCCTGGGGAATGCCCGCCACGATACCAGCCCCGGGATGGAGGGGAGGTGCTGGCTACCGGCACGGGGCCAGGGCATTAGCAGAGGGCACGGGAATCCCATCTCCCCCACCAGCAGCCTCCCATCCCCTGGCGCCCCCCAGGCTCTCCCCCGTGCTGCCGGTAAGGGGGGACTGGGAGCCGCTCGGCGCG